AGCTGAGCCGCTCCGGATTTTTCTGAGGGGTAGCGCTGAGTTCTTTGTCTCAAGGAAACTTGAAAATAAAATGGAAATGGAAAAAATGAACGTGCAGGTAAATGCCACCCCTCCCACCGGCCTGCTTGACCGTCAGACAAAATCCGTTCCCTTTAGGCCCTCGCATTTCCTGCAGAGCTGAACCATACGAGCCTCTGCGTGGATGTCTGCAGAGTACAGCAGTGTTTTAATCGTTGTTAGCTTCAAACAAACACTGTCTCTAATGTAAATGCGTGAACGAATGACCTGCAGATTTTAAACTCAAGGGCTTACACTGCGTGAACGAATGACCTGCAGATTTTAAACTCAAGGGCTTACACATCAAGAGTATGGGATGTAGAACTTGATTAGGTCACAAGGGTGGAGGGTTAGAATAAGCCTTTGCAAGGCGCAAGGGCCTGAGTTCAGTCCCCGGATTCACACACACACACACACACAAAAAAGAAGAAAAAAAATCCTAAGGGTGAGAGATTCGTTTTCTAGTAGAAAAATAATTTAGTAGATTCCTTTTGTATGTGTAATTTTTCTTAGTCCCAGTTTGCAGTACTGATGACTACATTGTGGTACACATACTTAACACATCGTAATAGTTTAGCCGAATTTTTGCTAAAACTGGGCTATGAAGTAAACCCGGGTGCAAGTGATCAGAGCCTGAGTAAGCCTGGTCCAGAAAGTCTTGTTGCTCAGACATTTTTCAGCCTTCTGTCTTATCTGGAAGACAGGAAGATCCCCTGTGGTTAGGAGGCTTCTAATTGTTATGACATTCACCAGTAATGTTCCTGTCAGCTGAAGCTAAGCTGTAGGAAGCTTAAAGCCCAGTTCTTAGCTGCAGAAAGATAGGAGGTGAACTGTGGAGGAAATGCGATGCTACTTGTGACCTCGCGAGAGCATGGGGGAGGGGCTGGTGTGCTCCTGGAAGGGGGGGGGAAGAAAGGTTTCCGCTCTGGTGGATTGACAGCTGGTGATCAGTTTGCAGCACCCAGCTGAACTGAACCAATGTGGTTCTGGGTGTGAGAGGCCCACCAGTGGATTGTTGCCAGCGGCCTAAGAGGCAGAACTGATGCAGAGAAGAGGCTGTAGGAGGTTGTTGTGGAGCTGTTGGGAAGCTGTTGATTCTCCAGGGTCTGCTGTTGGTTATTTTGGAGGACCTTGTCAGAACTTGGCTATTGTCATTGGCAAAGGAGCTCAAGACCTCGTTGCTGAGGATGGCTATGATTCACTTTGGGTGCACTGCTTAGCCACGTAGAGAAGCTTGAGGGGCTGGGGAGATAGCTCAGTAGAATAAGCGCTTGCCTGGCAAGTTCAAGGTCCTGAGTTCAATCCTTGGCACCGCAAAAAAAAAGCTTGTCATGTGGGCTTTTACTGATGGGGACTAGGCTTTCCTCCTCGTTGGGGCTTCGGGACATTACTGTCACTGAGGGTGGCTGTGGTACTTTTGTGGGGAGCTGTGGTTCTTAACCTTGAACTTCCTGTCTGCAGTACAGCTCCCTCAGCCTGCTGTAACAAACTTTCCTTCTTTCTAACACAAGATTCCTTCACCCTGCTGGCACAAACTTCCTCGCTTACACCGCTGACCTTTTCCTTCCCATCGCAGTTCTGTGAAGCAGGCCTACATGAGACTTTGTTGTGGAACCTAGGCCTTCAGCTGGACTCCTGGGAGACATTGTCATGAGCTCTAGGTCTTTATCTGGACTCATGCAGGACGTTGCCTCGGGATCCAGGCCCTCAGCCAGATTCTTTTGGTCTTTAGTGTGTGGATATATTTCTTTCTTTCTTTCTTTTTTTTTTTTTTTTTTGCAGAACTGGGGATTGAACTCAGGCCCTTGGGCTTGCCAGGCATGTGTTTATTCCATTGAGCCATTTCCCTGGCCCTTAATAAGTGTTTTTTTTGTTTGTTTGTTTTGGGGGGAGGGGCGGAACCAGGGACTTGCGCTTGCCAGGGAAGTGCTTATTCTATTGAACCATCTTCCTGGCCCAAACGCCATTTTTTTTTTTTTTTTTTTTTTTTTTTTCCAGAACTGGGGATTGAACTCAGACCCTTGCGCTTGCCAGGGGAGCGCTTATTCTACTGAGCCATCTCTTCTACTGGACATATTTCTTGCATACTCTTTGTGTATGATTCTTTGGGTGATTCATTATAAAATAATTTTATAAAATATCCTACATTGTTCCCCTTGTAAAACCCAAAATTATGACACCCTCGTTATTTAATTTCTGTTTGTTTAAAAACTTTCAGTGCAATAGTGTGGTCGATAATTTTGAAGAAGTTTGCCCAGGGAAGGTAATTAAGTTTAAACCTCCATTGTACAAACAACGATACCAGTTTGTGAGAGATTTAGTGGATCAACACAAACCCAAGAAGGTAGGTATCTCTTTCCAATCATTTTACTGCCAAGATTATTCCATGAAGTGGTTTGTCAGATTCATTAGTAAGTGCTGTTTTGCTGAGCTGTGTCCCCAGCGTTTGCCTTTCTATGTGTGTGGTTTGTGCGTGCGCTCGTGCATGCGTGTGTGTTGTTGCAGTTGGTCTCAGCTTTCGTATGTTCTGCGCTCATACAATTTTGAACATTATATCCTAAGCCATAATGGTTTTTCCTGTGTATAGTTCAGTCTGTTTTTGTTCAGCTGACTCATTTTTTTTTTAAATTTAATTTTTTTTTTTTTTTTTTTTTGACTCATGATTTTTGCTTTGCTTCCTGACCCAGGATTTGCCTTTCTAAAGATTCTTACCTGTTAGGTAAACAGCCTGGGCCAGAGGTAGGCAGAACCTGCTGAGATCATAATTAGGAATTTAATAGCAGGCTTTTGTTTTCAGAGAATATAAATCCTTTTGCAGCCTGCAGGTCTGATATTTTATTTTTTGCTACTTGATTTTCAAGCACAGTTGTTATTATGTATTTATAAAAGCCTTATTTTTTTGCATTGTATTAATAATTGGAAGACTTGGTTTCTAATCCAGGTTTACTTTAATTTCTCAACTTTAATTATGAGAGGGTTGCCCTTTCTCTCTCTCTTACTTTTCTCTTTTTCTTTTGAGACAGGGTGTCACTTTGTAGTACAATCCAGCCTTGAACTCATTTTTTTTTTAAGGAATATAAAACTATTGACCACTGCTCACCATTATTTACAATAAAGTAAACAATATACATTAGGATAACATTCTGACTACTACAAAGTTGTTTTCCTGGCTTCTGCTGAAAACAGTAACTCGAATACTGAAGATTGAACATACATGTAAGGAACAAGTTGGGATCAAGAAATAACATGCAGGTCAATAGTTTAGATTACAAGTGTGTCCGCTCATTTATTCCAGGTCCTAAATTGTGAACACCGCCAGCCACTCAGTAGGTTTCCGAGAGTCAAGTCAAGACATACATGAATCCTGACTTTTGAGTGCAGATTTTAACTTGCTGTGAAGTAATGAGTCTTGAGGAATTTTTAATGTTCCCTTGTTAAGTCTTAGCAAATTCAAACAAACCAAGTTTTGACTTGCTACCTTATTTGGGTGGGAAAGTTGTTGGTAGGGTTAAGAATTTTTTTTTTTCTCTTTTTGAGCCAGGGTCTCACGATACAGTTCAGGCTGGCCTTGTGCTCACTTTGTAGCCCAGGCTAGTCTTGAACTCCCAGGATCCTCCAGCTTCAGCCTCCCAAGGGCTGGGATTCTAGGCATGCGCCACCATGCCCATCTAGATAAAGACTTTTTTGCAAGGGAGTTTTGGAAGTAAATTGCATTTTTGTGACTAAAGACAGATACAGATTCTGATATGGCTGTTTTGAAAATACCTACTTTAAACTGTCCAATTAACCACAAAACCATCTATTTAACTTACAAGGTTATGGCTTCAGAAAACTTTCTATTTAACTGGAAGTGATTTCTTACGTTGCTTAGAATGATGATGTCTCAAACATGAGGTTATCACTCATAGTTTTTGTTTTGGT